CGTGAGATTGTAGGGAATTTACTATTTTAAGATTAATGTTTCAGTTTATAGTGGGGAGGGGGGGAATAGCTATCATACAGATACACATACCACAATGGAGACTTTTTATTTCTTATTCCTCAAGAATATAGTTTTTCATTCATTCCTCTCTCTCTCTCTCTCTCTTTCTCCGAATATATGACTTAATGTCATATTTTCATTTTGGAGTATTTCCTTTCTTTGTTCTTTACTGTTTTTACCCTTTTTGAAACGCAACTTTACGGGCGGGAGAGCGGGGAAACCCACAAGGTTGCACTTCAAGCTTGCTAGTAAAGTAAATTAAAATCAGTGCTCCTTGCTTCGGAATAAATGTTGCTAGGGAATAAACGTTGTTAGGATTCTGAACTTTGAGGCAGGAGCAATTTTGGCGCCAATGCCTAGGGCGCCTCGATAGACGGGGGATACTGTACCCCGTTTCCCTCTCTTCAGTCAGCTATCTTCCTTGTTGGATCCGCCGATATCCTCCCGCCCTAGAACTGCATGTGTCGCACTCACGGACGCGCTAGCTACTCCCTATTTTTGCGCAACTTTCGCAAAACTTTCCGGGATGAGATGCGGACCTGTCGGAGCCGGGGCCAATTTGGCGCCAGAGACTGGAGTGAGGGATGGCGGGGAGACGCCTCTGCTGGAGTAGAATTCAACCTTTATATCAAGCCCGTATGAAAATACGTTGCAGACGACCAATGCTTTGATAGCTCTTTTTGGTTACGCGAAGCAGCTATTGCACCGCCGTGATGAAAGGACTGCGGCTTCTTAGATTCAGAAGTGTTTTCCCCCTTCGATTCATCTTTATAGCAAAACTGGTTTTCTTCGATTTGAATCCCCCCCTCCCCGCCTTTCCAAATCTTTAGGCTTTCCTTCCTGCTGGCTGGGAGTCCTGGGAATCGTTGTTTCAAGACGTCGGGAGGGTTTCCCGTTAGGAAAAACGAACGCTCGAATCTAAAGTGCATTTATGAAGTTGGGAATTTCGTCTCACCACGGTTTAATCTTCTGAAGAACAAATTAAAATATCGCGAATATTAAATGCGTGGTGCTTTGGAGGTGGTGGATTTTTTTTTTAAAGCAGCCTGTATATATTTTAAACAAATTAATACATCTAAAGCAAAGTTCAGGCTTTCTTCCTAAGAAACGGTTCTGTCAAGCAACTTCTACTGAGCTTCAGATTGATTTAGGTTCAGAGCAATTCTCTGAATTAGTTAAATTATATAAATATTGACTACTGTATTGGTCATTATACAAGAATAATCTCATATTGACTTTTTGACTGCTATAATTTCAGAGTATCTGGAAACCACAAATTAAATATTTTTAGTCACCCTGTCACCCAATTTCCTTTAAAATAACACTGAAAATTGATTCCAAGTATATACTTTTCCGAAACTTTCATCAAATAACCTGCAAATAATATTCAATAAATAGCAGAATTACTTTAAGAAAAAACTCCTGTTCCCTTGCATCATATTTTCTTTTTAATTTTATACTTGAAGAATTAATAGTTTCAAGTTCCCCTAATCATTTATCAGTAGTATTCTATTCTAATTAATTCTGTTGAATATCTCGGAACGTGTTCTCTAAAACTTGTAGTGTATTTCTTCCCTATATAAAGTCCTAGAATATTTAATATTATTAAGTAACAATTACAATATTTATGTCTTTGCATTGGTTATTGAAACTTCACAAGCTAAGGCAAGTAAAACAAATTTCCAGAATACTTGCCAAAATGTTGAATCACTCGTATAACATGTGACAATAAACTAGCATAGGCATCTAAATTTGTTAAAATATCACTAAGCTATAAAAATCGTTTATAATCAAAACCTACCAGAGTAGTAATGGGACTATCATTAGATTGCCTAATAAAATTGCTAAGGGTTCCAAGCCTCAGGATTTTAAAAAAAAAATACCAAAAGGCAGTAGAGAAAATGAGAGCTAGTTTGGTCTAGCGGTTAAAGCATCAAACTAAAAACCAGGAGACTGTGAATTCATAGTCCTTGACTATGAAGACCAGTTGGGTGACTTTGGGCCAATCTCTCTCAGCCCAACTCACCTCACAGGTGTTGTGAAGTAAATAAGAGAAGGAAGATGTGTGGGATATATTCATCATGTTGAGTTACTTGTAAAAATAATAAAGGCGGGATACAAATAAAATTAAAAAATGGAAGATACTATGCTTCTGAAATTAATCAGTTTGTCATAACTCATGCACAGGAATGTTAAGAGTAAATGCCCATGCATTTAATAACACTGAATGGAAACCCATATCTCTTCATAACTTGCCAAAGAAAATTAATTTGGATCAATTATGTCTTATTTCTGCATAATTATAGGACAAAAATAATAATCTGCATTGTTGTAATATCATCTTTCTGCAATCTAAGAATATGATAAAAGGTTTTTTAGTTGTTTGCAGTGTTCTGTGAAATCCAGAAAAATCAAACTAGAAATCAGAGTGTGTGTATGGCATTCATGATCCCTGTGAGGAAAAGAAAAGTTGATGAGACTCCTTTTATCTCAATAAAAAGTTGAAACTGCTACGTTTTCCCTATAAGTGTAAAGGGAACAGCTGTTATGAATTCTCTATTAATCTTTCACTGCTCTTTCCTGCTCACAAAATATCCCACATATTCCACTAATCAGCAAGCTGGCTGGGACCATAGAAAGGCAGATGCAAGGGCCACAGAGAGTCACATAGGATTTAACAAATAATCTTACTGTGTCCTCTCAAATTATGGTTTCTTTAGATCAGGGGTGTCAAACTCAAGGTCCGGGTGCCAGATCCTGCCTGCAGGGTGCCTAGATCTGGCCCGCGGGGCCGCCCTGGAAACAGCAAAGGACTGGCTCGTGGTGCCTCTGCCAGAGAAAACAGAGTTCGAGAGGGCAGCATGCAGCTCCCCTGAGCTCCGTTTTTGCTGGCAGCGGGTTGCAGGAGGCGGTCACAGCCGAAAACGGAGCTCGGGAATCTGTTTTCGCTGGCAGAGTGCTCAGGCCACCACAGGTGCCCCCGACACAAGTTATGTTGAACTGGCCACGGCCACCCAGGCCACACTCACCCCGGCTCCCCAAGGTCAAACACAACCCTGATGCAGCCCTCAATGAAATCAAGTTTGACATCCCTGCTTTAGATCATTACTAGTCAGTAATGAAAATGGGGGGGGGGAACCCTAGATTAAATGTCAATAGGTCTTCTCCTTTCTCAGAATAAAATGGGTCTTCTCCTTTCCCAATAGTAAGTCCAAAGGTTTCTTCATACGATATTGGTTTGGTAATTTATTACCAAACAATTAGATGAGATACAATACTTTCTATATAGTCTGTACAGTATAGCCCTCACTCCAAATTTATTCACATCTCTCCCATGTTGGCATGTGATTTTCTTTACCTTACACTTTTACAGATACCTTTCTGTACCTTGATTCAAGATAAATGTGCTGCTGCTGAAGTTTCTGCTGCTGCTGAAAATAATGTAGTAAATTCAGACATGCTTATGAAAGTCTTGACTCTGTATAATCTCTCATATCAACTCGTAAAATTAGGCATTCTCTATTTCACATTTAAGGCAACTGTCTGGGAGTAGCACATCTTAGCCAAGACCATCTACAGTACTAATTATTTAAATGTTATGTACAGTGTTATCTATGGGGGGGTTCAACTAAGATACAATCTCACCTGTTTCAGTGACAAAGCTTTCTTAATGATGGCATCACAATTACAATATATTTTTCCTGTTTTCTCAGAGTAATATGGATTGCAAAAATTAAGAGATGGTAAATCATTTCAGTTAGGATTGGATACTGATTAAGTCTGAGGATTCAAATGACTGGAACAAAACACCCCGTTCTCAACTCTGGCAATTTTTCAGATGTATGGACTTCAACTCACAGAATTCCCCAGACATGTCTACATCTGAAAGTTGTCAAGATTTAGAAACATGTGCTAATGTCTAATAAATAATAAATAAATAAAGTCTAATAATCTGCTAATAATGCAGCATGTCTCTCAAATTCTGGGATAGACAAAGGGAAAAAAGAGAACAGGAAAAATCGTTCCAAAAGAATTGGAAAAGATTTCTATAACAATTTCCATTTATTTTTTAAAGGGCTACTCCCCATTATTTCAGTTTTTCTTGTATCTTGAAATAAATCCAGTGTTATGATGCAAGTGATTGATATTCGATTAGGATTGGGGAGATTTCCACTGAGTCATGAGCCTCACTGAGTGACCTGAGGCAATCACATAATCTGTTTCATTCATACAGTTGTGAAAATATAAGGGTGTGTGTGTGCTGAGTTTCTTGGAGAAAGAATGTGATATAAATGTAGCAAATTAGTGTATTCCAGATGTTTTGGGTTATAAAATTCATAACTTCAAACCATTTGGCTATATTGGTAAAAACATATGAAAATTCCAGTTAGAAATAAGTACAGAGCAACAGATTGCCTATTATTTCTTTGTAAATAATCAAAGTGTGACTGAAAAAAAGGGTGATATAATGTTTCCTAAGGTCCAGGGATGGATGAAAGCCAACTGATATCCTAGGTACAACTCAGCAATGATGCCACTTGGCCTTTCCATTACTTAACTGACAAGATATTTAGACACAATAAGTGCTGAAAACTAAAATTGAGTGTGACAGTGAAAGAGTTAAGGGCATGAGTGGGGAAATCTCTGTGGTGCCTCTTCCTTTGGTGCACTAAACCCAGGTAATTTGGCTATGGGTTCTTAGTAGAGTAAGATTTCAACTAGGTACATTTGGAACTCATGACTCACAATTCATGTTATTTCTCAATACCAAACAAACAATGCAAATAAAGAAAAAGAAACCAATAGTTTCAAAAGCTGATGTGAGATCTGAATATTGATAGCAATAATTAAAGTTGACACATTCATTGAATGTTTTGCATTCAAAACTTTCCAAACAATTTCCATTGTTTTAATGAATAAAAATCAGACCAGAGTTTTGTAATTAAAAATTTAATCAAAATCAAGAAAATGTACAGTAATTTAAACATTGGAACCACTTTCCCCCCCAGAAATATACATCTTCAACAGCTTGAGACAGGAAGACAACAGTTTCAATTATATATTCATCCTTAATTAAATATACAAAACTTAGTTTTATTATGGATTGTGGTAGTTTTGTTTACATGGCTTATTGTGTTAAAGAATACTTGTTATCAAAAGATACTCACCATCACTTCTTTTTATAACCATTTAAGCACATTTTCAATCATCAATCAATAGTCAAATTGCAAAAGCTACCAAAATATCTAAATAAAAAGCTAAGGCAGGCAGGTAAGTTTATGACTAAACATACAGTCAAATCATCTACTCTCTAGCAAAGGATATTATAAATACTATTACAAGTCACTCCTATTCATATATGAAATATCTCTTGGTAGTTGAAGAAGCTCTTATAAATCTGTGCAAGTGTTAAATCTGCATTTTTATCCTACAGACCAAGGGAAAATTTATATAAACAGAATTTTATTTTATAAACGTATAGAGTATATGTAATGCATCATAAAAAATTCATTTGACATTGTATGAGAAACCACAAAGTTTAAAAAAATCAGAAATTTTAAAAACAACATTTTTTCTTCTCAAGAAAACCAATCCTCTAAGTCATCTCCTTCCTCTCTCTTCCATAACTAACCTGGCTCAACAATTCTACTGTATGGTCTCAACAATAGCAACTATATCTGCCTTTTAGAAGCATATAAATCAGTCCCGCTGTTAATTGGAACAGTTGTAGCTGGTATGAATCTCTTTTTGCTGCCAAACAGAAGGCTTGATTCTGTAGATGAAAAGAACAATGCTGAGCTTTGGGCATTTTCCTTTGGGCGACAAAGACCTAGGAAATTCTTCAATACCTTCTGCCGGAATTGCTGGTCCATAAAGGCATAGATGATAGGATTAATGCAGCTGTTGGTGAAAGCCAGACAAGCACTGATCTTAACTCCCCTCCTGAGAGCTTTCAATGCATCACAAGAGAACTCGATGTTCTGTATCACACCGTAATAGGTGATGACAGCTGTGAAGGTATTGAAGGGTAACCAACAGCAGATGAATGCCCCAATGATGACAAAGATGATTTTAAGGGCATGGTTTGTTTTCCTGCCTGGGTTGACATGACTCTTGAGCATGGAGAAGATAGAGCAGTAGCAGAATAAGATTACACCCAAGGGTAGCAAGAAAGTCAAACAAAGTACCGTGAAAATATAGATGACAGAAGGGTCTTCATCCTGGCATGCAAACCTGTCTCCAACAGGGATCAGCTTTCTGTAGAGCAAAGATGGTATTCCTAAGAGAAAGGAAAACACCCAGATGCAACTGCAGGTAATGTTGGTATTTCTCTTGGTCCCGAGAGATCTGGAATCCCAGTGCTTATTCATCACAAGGAAGCGTTCCACACTCATGCCCATCAGGAACAAGATGCTTGAGCAACGGTTCACAGAAATAGCATAGCTGCTAAATTTGCAAAGCTCTTCACCAAACCACCAAGAATCAGATGCTTCTGTCAAAGCCCAGAAAGGCAAAGTACATACAAAGACAAGGTCTGCAATGGCCAGGTTAAGGACGAACTTGTCCACAAGCCTCTGGTTGCCTCGTTTCTGCACCATCACCAGGATCACAAACAGGTTCCCAAAGAAGCCAATGAAGAAAATCATGAAGTAGATGACAGAGATAAAGATAGAGGCAAATGGCAACTTTTCCATAAAGCAGAAGTCGTCATTGGTAAATTCTAAACCAAAAACGTCTACAGTGGATGATTCCAAGTCTCTGCTCCAATTTTTGGTCATGGCCAAGTCAGTTACCAACTCAGCAAACTTCATTTTCAATCAAAAATTCAGCAAAGAATTTTCCGCTTACAGTTGCAAGAGCTAGCCAAAGCACATATGCTCTATATTTGGCTGGGTGGTATTTAAATAAAGCAGTGGTTTGCTTGTTTTTAAGCACCTGTGGTAACTTCCTCTTGTTTTTATGAAAAAATTGATGCCAAGTACTAGATAGAAGTCCTGAAACTCTATAACAATAAAGAAAACACTTAGTAATACAATTTGGTATGGCTGAGTAGCTACATTCTTGGTACAGTATATTGTAAAAGTTAGAGCAGGTAGTTATTTGCAAGCTGCTTTTCTCGTTGGATAGTTCTCTTTCATAGAAGGCTTTGCTCAAATTGGAATTACAAGTCTTAAAATTTCAGCCAACATGGGAATAGTCATAAAATTATTGATCATGATAAATTATTAAGGAATGTTTTCTCTTTTTTCCAAAGTTGTTTTTTCTCAATGGGCAAAATTAAGTCGTTGCTTTCAGGGAGTGTAGAGAGACTGGTAGCATCCTCATCTTGCATGACAAAGTTGTGAGGTCCACAATGGCCAATTCCACATTCCTTAAGCTAATTTGTTGCATTCAAATGAGATAAAATATGCTATCCTTTCATCATGTCAATTTAAGTTAAAATTGCAGTTCCATCTACTTTTGTAAGAATAGGAGAAATGCCATCTTGTTCTTCATCTCAGCTACTGAGTGCCTTGAGACTTCCTTGTGTTTCACACTTAAGTCTTCAGATCATTAAACTGCAAATATTGTTACAATTACCAAGCAGTGGTTCCTTCCACACCAATCCAAAGTAGTTTATGTTTAAAAATTATATTGAGGTATATGTGAATAAATATTTTCTAGCAAATTATGCTAGAAAACAACGACAGCAGAAGCCAAATTATACATTTTATGAATGAAAAAAGAAATGCACATCAAGACAGTAGAGGACATTTAAATATATAATATAAAGTATGATACAGAAAGCACTTGATTCAGAAATTGAATAAAAACACTTAATAAAAGATGGCTATTTTCCTCCTTTCTCTCAGTTCCAGCCCAAATTGAATACAAACTTCTAACCAGGCTAGCATCTATTTCTTTGCCTAACATCAAAAAACAAGTTGTCTTCCGCTGAGGTAATTCTCAGGGCATGCAAAGAATAAGATGTGGCCAAATCATCAGTTTTATAAATTGTGAACACTAGACAATCAGAAAGGCTGAACTAAGAAACACTGATCATGAATTTGCAGTTGTTATTTTAGGCACATTATGTCAAGGCAAGTGTCATTGGAGAATGCTGATGCTTGAAAAAAATAAAAGTAAAACAAAAAAGTGACGGATAAAAGATAAGGTGGCAAAATGTTATCACTAATGACTTATCAGTTTTGTAAATACTTTACTTTACCTTACTGATGAGGGGGGGGGAACACAAAAATACAAAAAATGACCACAGAAGCTAAGATAAGATGGCAAGGAGATATGCACAGGGCAAGAGTGACCCTGTGTTTCAGCTGGAAAAAGATAGCAAGTCATGAGGTAACCGGCATTGAAAAGTTCTAGCTTGCACATTGAGAATCAAACAAATGACAAGTACTGGGACACAATTTTCTTGTCAAAATGTGTCAAGTACCAAATCTGACAAGTTTCAAAGCAGTTGAGTACCAGGGTATGACTATATTGCCTATTTGTAGTTATGCTAATAATTGCTTTAATCTGGCATGAATCTCTCTATAGATGAAAAACAATAAAGGAAACTATTCTTAAGTAACTCCAGATTTCATTCTTGGTTCTTCTAACATTGATTAACTGAAAGCAACAACAAACTATCTTCTTAGAGCCTTGGTGGCGCAGCAGACTAAAGTGCTGTTAAGTAGCACCAGCTGCCTGCAATTACTGCAAGTTCAAATCTCACCAGGCTCAAGGTTGACTCAGCCTTCCATCCTTTCGAGGTAGGTAAAATGAGGACCCGGATTGTGGGGGCAATAAGGTGACTTTGTATAAAAAAGAACACCACTTGGGGGGGCCGAAAGCCCTACTAAGCAGATAGATAGATAGATAGATAGATAGATAGATAGATAGATAGATAGATAAGATAGATAAGATAGATAGATAGACAGACAGACTGAAATACAATCCCAGCTGTTGCCTGCTCCTTTGCCAGTTCCTTAAGATAGCTATTCTGATATAATGCTACACTCCAGAATCTTCAGTGCTCCAGAATGATGGAATAGGAGAATTTGAAAATAGCACAGCTCTATCCTTGCTGGCAGCAGAAATGGTAGATGTTGCCTGTTTTTAGAACAGCTAAGGAAACTTTTGCAGTTTTCTAAAATCTATTCACATTTGGATAAATAATTAAAACTTAAAATTCATTCATACGAACAGGAAAGGTGAATAATTATAACATACATTTATAGGAAATATAAAACAAGTTTAAAAGGAAAAGATGCAATAGTTTATAAATACTAAAAAGTTGTAAGTCTCTGTAAAATATATAGGGAAATATAGAAAAATATGGAGATAAGATAGACAGCTATACCTCTAATCAGATGTATATAGAGATGTAGATTCTAACAGAAGCAGTTTTTTATTCACAGATTAGAAAGTCTCATGTTTAAATTTTCAACTACTAATTATAGTTTGCATTAACATCTAATCTAGACCCAGATCTGGTAAATTGACAAAAACCAAATCCTTATTGTTTTATTCCACAAATAGGAAGAAAGAAAATGAGAGCATAAGAATCTCTTAAAATTAGGGCAATCTTCCATGCAATCTACCAGATATTTGGGGACACCTACCAGAATTCCCAACCAGCATGGACATTGAAGCTGAAGTTCACACATAAGGAGAGTGTCATGGTTAGGAAGAACTGCCTTAGGACAGTGTTTCTCAATTTCAACAACTAAGATGTATGTACTTCAGCTCCCAGAATTCCCCAGCCAGCCATGATAGCTAGAGATTTGGGAGTTGAAGTGCATACATCTTAATGTCACTGAGATCAAGAAACACTGTCTTAGGATATGATCCATTGGCATATTAGGATAAGTCTATCTTTGCTCTATTAAGGGACTATGTTCTCATTTCCTTTCTGAGAAATTGCAGGAACTGCAATAGCTGTAAATGTTTTCACTGGGCATTTTGTTTGCTGTTTGAATGCTATTGAGATGACAAAACATTATTGTAAATGTTTTCAAAGGGACTTCTGTAGCATTTTAATTTAACATTACCGTGCACAAAACGAAATCCTTAAGAAATGGGCAGTCTGATCCAACAGATTCATTTTGGCTGCTGAGACATACAAAGTATGTATGTTATTAAATTAATTACATTTAATTAATTACAGCCCACAGGACCTAAACGTCCATTTGGTGGAGATAGTTCTGCTCAAATTGCACGTGAGTAGTAGTTGTGAGTCAAATGAAACTCACTTTGCCATCTCTCCTTTCATGAAACATGTCCAGTCTACTTTGTCCACTTCCCTGTTTATGCTGTGATCATTCATTCCCTTTTTGGCCATCCCTGCAAGATTGACAGGGTTCCTTGGTAGCACAGTAGACTATGAACCCCAATGGGCTCCCCAGTGGTGTGCTCTTCCTCTATTCCATTTCTTTATATTTGTGTTTTCTCCCAAGGAACTACCACTCCTCCTGGCTCCTTGGTTGTCTGTCTCCTCTGAAGACACAGGACTGAACTCACCCTGCCAGTTGTTGTGTGTTCAGTGACTGAGGCAGCAGGCCAATCCAAGCGCAAAGAGATGGTATCCTGCAATCCCAGATGAGTTCCCAAATTGTTGCCCATAAAACCCAGATGCCTGGAGTTGGAAAGAACCTAGTTCTTAAATTTGAGAAACACCCAATACTATTGCAAGTGGGTTTGTTTGCTCCCTCCCAAACAAACCACAATTAATTCATGCAAAGCAAAAGGCATTTTATTTAAAGCCCTATATGGCTCAGGCCAGGCTATCTTCGAGACTGCCTTCTACCACATAGCTCCCAGCAACCGGTAAGATCCCACAGAGGGTCCTGTCAGCTAAACAATGTCGGCTGGCGGGCCCTCAGGGAAGGGCCTTCTCTGTGGCTGCCCCGGCTCTCTGGAACCAATTATCTCCTGAGGTCCGGACCGCCCCCACCCTATTGGCCTTCCGCAAAGCGGTGAAGACCTGGCTCTTCCAGCAGGCCTGGGGCCGTTGATCTTGTTATAATGATCTTGCAAGACCCAGTCACGAATTGGAGTGCATGTGTTTTAACGTTTTAAAAGTTTTTAATGTTTTAATGTTTTTCTTTTTAACATTTTTTATGGGATTGTTCGCATTGTTTTATTCTTTGTTGTAAGCCGCCCAGAGTCCCTTGGGAGATGGGCGGCATAGAAATATATGACAAAAATAATAATAAATAATAAAAATAAATAAGGGGAGAAATCAAGTCTTTATATAGGGTGCAGAAATAAATGATGCATAGATTTGATATATGTAATGCATCAGCAACAAATCAAACAATAAAGGCATTAGATTTGAAGAAAGAAAGGCACCCTTAAAATTTCTTGCATCTCCTCCCTTTCAAACTGCCCTTGCTTGTTTACACTTGTAACACTCAAGGCCTTCAAAACACATTGTTGATTGATGGGCCCTGAAAGGGCTATTTTTTGCAGAACAAAGGAAATGGTTTTGGCTTAAAGGAAAACCTAAAACTCAAGGTAACATTACTTGTTATGTGGTTCTTTTTTAGGGCATTGAAACAGTACACTAAGTGGAGACTAAACTCTGAGAAAAATAGTTACAAAGATGTACTTCTGATAAGTATTTTTTAAAAACCCACTGAAGCTGTAAACAGCCTCGTACCCCAAAAGATTGCAGTAAACCTAGGAAATAAGGAAACTGATGCAAACTGGTCATCATGAAAAGCAAAGAAATAACCTAGGCACTAGAAATATGGGTATCCAGTATTTGCAATTACCTTGTCCTGGGAAGTAGAAATGACCTTGAGAGACAGGAGGAAGAGCCACTATC